TTCTTAGTGGGGTGTTGTAGTTAAATAAGTGCTGTCAAGATGCTGGCGGCTCACAGAGACCCTGTAGGACAGAGCTGTGTTTCCAAGGCTGGAATCTTTACGGAAGCAGAGTGTCTTCATCTTTCTCCTGAGGAGCAGCTTGTGTGTTTGAACCGGCCAACTTCTCTGTATTGTCCCAGTGCTTGCCTGCTGCACCAACTAGCTGCTATGACACAATGAGAACATTCTTAAATCGGCCCTGATGATGTGTGTGACTCCTGAGAATATGGAGACCTGCTGACTCTTCCTCCCTACTCGGTGGGCTGTGTGGGCCCTCCCACCTCTGGATCCCACTGACCCTCAGACAATTACCTGGCCTCATCTTCCCAGTTGCACAGCTCAAGGCTAAGATGGCCCCCATTGCAGGGCTGGGGCAAGGATGGGCTCGGTTTGGTGAGCCTCAAATGTGCAGGTGTCACTGGGAGTCTGTCTAGGGCACTGTGGGGACTCTGGGTCTTGACTCTTGTTCCCTCAGAGCTGCTCCTTGGAGCTGTGAGGTCACTCCTGCCACCTCGTGGGACAAGAGGTGCCAGGACAAAGTACTCCAGGCCTCCTGCACTGTGGTAAACCCTCATCCCTGTCATATATGAATGAGTAGCAGGAAATATCACCACCTCTCAGACATGGAAATCGGTAATCTGCTGAACTAGCAAACAGGAGGAGGTCACAGCTAGGTGTTCGCTGGTCCTCTGCCAAGATGGGGAAGGGGGACTAATGGTGACAAAGACAGAGCCAGTCTGTTACCTGGGCAAGAGCTGCTCCATCCACACAGGTTAACATCCTGCCCAGGTTTAGCCACAACATGGAAGGACTGTCCCTGGTGCCTACTGATGGGATCGTTCACAGTCCATGAGCTCTGGGGAGAAGCAGCAGCATGTGGGAAAGTAGGTTGAGGAAGGTCAGTGACACAGCCATCCTGGGGAGATGTGACGGGCACGAGTCTGGGGACGCCCAAAATGGAGGCACAGGAGAGGGAAGTTTCAGGAGCACAGGATCAGGGACAGTTAAGCCCTCCAGACCCTTCTGGGCTCTGAATCTCCAAGGTTGGGGCATCCTTTTCTTTCGATTCCTAGAATCTCCATAGCCAAGACATCACCTTTCTTTCCAGCTCCCTGAACCCCTAATGTCAGGACACTTTCACTCTTTATAATTACTTAGACACCTCATCTCATGCCAATCCCCTTCCTTTCCAACTCCCTGGAAGCCTAGGGCCTGAACATCACCTCTCCTTCAACTCTCCAAAACCTCAGATCAGTATCTTATGGCTATCTGAGCCCCCAAGGCTGAGGTACCCCCTTTCCTTCCATTATTCTCAATCCCAAGGTCAAGACACATTCTCAAGGCCAGGTGCCCAGCCCTGCCTGCTCTCTTGGCACAAATGCCCAGAAGCCCACTGAGACGTCCTGGAGGGACAAGATGCCTTTTTGCCCAAGTGAAAACTGAGGTAACTGGGCCTTCCATCACTGAGCCTGACTTTCAGCACAGGTGACAGAGCTGTGTCTTCAACACACCAGGAGAACCTGCCCGTGTCTAAGATACACACACTGCCAGGAGACTGCTGCACCCCTTCCTTCTAGAAGGCTCCCTCCACTCCACCTGCCTTACTGATTGGGTGAGGTGTGCTGAGAGAAACACTAGAGTTCCAGGGAGGCAACTTCCCTGTGAGCAGGCCTCCAAACAAAGAAAGCAGGAGGCTGTCTCAACCTCCCAGCCCTTTCGAGACACCCACTCTCCTGCTGCTCTTAGACAAAGCATAAACTTCTCTTGTGGTGTACCCCACCCTGATCCTCCAAAACGTCCCAGATGCCCTGACTTCTCACTCATCCTCTTTTGTCCCTTTTTTGCCTCAAGTCCCCAAAACACTCAGAATTTCCCTCTGCACCCCAGGTCCTCACATCCACCGCCACCATTCAGTCAATGCAGACTCTCAGAGAACCACTACCGGGTTTCCAGGCTGTTAGCTTTCCAGGAGAAAACTGCCCACCTTTCTCCCGGAGTGCCTGGTAGGGTCAAACAGCTGACTCCTGGTTAGCAGCCCATACACGATACAGCACACCACCAGGGCTGTAAATTCAACTGCTCCCGGCTTCCTGGTTACATTGCAAAGTTCTGGAATGCTGCTTGGCTCACCCAAGGCCCAAGTGAGTCAGGCAAGTAAACAAGCAGAGGGATGGTGACCCCTGTCAAAAATGCAAATGCCCTGAGCACCCCTCATATGGCATGCCTTCATGGGGAGTCCCTTCTGGACACCTCCACTAGCCCCAGCCATAAGTGCCCCTCCACATCAGGTCTGAATCTCACAGGGGATGGAGGGCTAGGAGGGGCAGCTCTGATAACAGACATGAAGGATGGGGCAAGGGTTAGGGTGCACTGACACAGGGCCAAAGGCGGGATGCAGGGTGCACAAAGGTGGGCCGGAGTCAGGTGCAGAGATGTGGAATAAGGGAGGCAAGAGGCAGGATGTAAAAAGACTTCAGAACTGGGGGCGAGAGTTAGGGTGCACAGAAATAATGTGTGAGGAGCACTTGGTTCTAGTTCATTTGCTGCTATTCTACCCCTCAAACTTCCACAGAGATTGAAGGGTATGGAGCAGGAGACCTGGAGCTGTGGGGGTGAGCCCAGTTAAAACTGAGCTACGTAATATTGGCAGCAGAATGACATGAACACTTTACTAATTACTTAGTATTAGATTCCTGTCGTCAGATGCCATCAATCCAGGTGGCCCCAAGGACAATGGAGGAAATGCTCCCCAGTCCTGTGCCTCACCCTCTCCTGTGAACTGCTGCAGCCACTGTGTCGATTCATCTCATTGCGGGTCGGCCTCATCTTTGGTGATCCTCTGTTTTTCTAAGCACGCTGCCCTCCACGGACTAGTGTCCACTCATGTCTCAGTCTGCCCTACCACACTGGCTCACGTACTGCTGTAATGCCGGAAGCAGGGTCATTACAGTGGACAGGTTTCAGACTGGTCATCCAATTCTGAAATAATGGGCCCTTGGAAACACTAAGAAGCCCTAGTGTGTAGAGCGGAACACACGGGGCTGCTAACAAGAAAAGTTGATGCTCTGAAACCACCAGCCACTCTTAGGGAGAAAGATGGGGTCTCTCCTCCTGTGAAGATTTACAGCCTCAGAAACCTAGCAGAGGGTCATCATGACATAGAACTACCTGAAGGCAGGGCTTGGTTTTAGATTTTTGAAAATAGGTAGAGACATGCTAAAATCCTATTGTGGGACAAAGGGCATATTGTTCAAAATGCCCAGGCCATTGTCTGATTTTCACTATATGGTTGAACAGGAATATGACCAAAAAAAGGATGTGTATTCTCTTCCAGTTGGGCAAATCCCTCCCATGTGATTACCGCCTCTGAAAACCCACTGGAGGTTCAGCTATGTGTCGGTTCTGACTCAACAGTACACAACAACAGTCTATCCATGAGAGGACCAGCCAGCTTTGCCATTCAGTCAGGTTTAAACTGACCAAGTTCTGTAGCAGAAACCGGTACTCCCACTACCAGCAAGGAAGGAGCAGAGAATGCTGTGCTCGTAAGGTGAGGCCAGAGATCCCTGCACCATTCAGTCAGTCTAGGCCCAACACAAGGGCAGAAGATGAGACTGTTGCCTCAGGGAGCCAGAGCCAGGGGCCTTGCCCAAGCTTGTTGGATGACTCGAGGAAGGAGAAACCATAATTGGCAGGACAAAGTAAGAGAGGTCTGACTGATGTGCCAAATGTGGTAACGGTTACCCATGGTGGACAGTGTTTGCTGGAGCTTCCCGACTAAAACAAGCCTGGAAGCAGGAGTGGCATCCACTTCTGGAATGGCTTGCCTCCGGAAACTCTAAGTACAAACAGTGCTCAGGACTTTTGTTCATAGGGTCGCTATGACTTGTCTACGACTCGATGGCACCTAACAACAACAAGAGAAGTCTGTAACACTGACCTAAGCCTCAAAGTTAAAGGCCTGACTGAGGACTTGCACCTTGTTGCCAACCTGAATTATAACCTGTTAACTTCCCTAATAAACCCCATAATCACCATAAATATAATTCCATGAGGTCCATGTGACCACTGCAAACGGATTCTGCACCCAGCAGAGCAGTAGGATTGATGCTGGAATTGGTAGAAGTTGGTGCGGGAACGTGGGAATGTGCCTGATCTCATGGGAACTGATTTTGTCGTGGATGTTGCTGATGGGGACTGCTCCCCTTTGCAGTTAGTTTGGGGAGGTCTGATGCGCTGTCCCCTCACCATCTACATTTTTTTCAAACCTACCCACTGTTTACTCAGAGCTCAAACTAACTTAGCTGGCTTCCAGTGGCACCTGGAGACCCTGGTCCTCAGAAATATCCTGACTGTATGGCCACTTCTCTGTGCTGACCTCACCATAATGCTGCACCACTCTCAGCTCACCTCTGGCACAGACCTGGGCATTGGTCTTGTGGTCACAGGCCTGCTGACTAGTATGAAGACCCAAACCAATTCAGGACCAGATGCTCAGGTCTAAGGGATCCCCAGCACCTCCATCCCATTGCTGCTGGGACAAGGTGAACTCTGGGCAGGAGCCCTCTGTGTACTGTGCTCTGGGGTGGGGGTGGGGGAATATAAGGCTGGCCAGGATCCCAGCAACCTGGCTGCGGTCTCAGACTGGGGAGCTGAAGGTGGCTGTCATTGTCTGGGGCAGGCAGGATGCTTGGTTCAAAGACAGAGGTGGGTCACAGGGGCCTCAGAGGGCTCACCAAGCTCCAGTTCCAGGGAACTTGGGCACTCCAGGAAGAATAATGGTTGTCCATAACACCCATGCACCCCCTTCCTTGGAGAACAGGGGACCAGGCAGCCATCTCCCATGCACCCCTTCAACATCCCTCAGCACCAGCCTCCGCACCCAGTAAGAGACTCCACGCCCAGCAAACTACACCCAAGGCTCACAGTGGGTAGCAGAGCCGTGGCTAGGACCACCTCACCTGGATGGAGAGAAGCAGGGTTCTGCAGACACAGGCGCAACCAGGTCAAACTAGAGGGTCCGTGCAGTCTGATCCCAGGACAGCACAGTCACAAAACACTAAGAAGCAGATCAGAGAGACTGGGCAACAACTGAGGAACACAGTGCACAGTGGGTTCGCATGACCCTTGAGAGTGCAGAGCAGGTAAGAGGGCCCGGTCCAGTGTGCCCCGCCCCCGACCCAGTTTCAAGGCACACAGGGACACCACAGGAATGGAATACTTCAGAGGGTTGGACTCAGGTCCTGCCCCTGGCCATGGCTGCCCCTCTGCCCAAGAACATCTTGTCACCACCCCTCCCCTGCAGCCTTAGCCCCAACAAACTTGGTCACTCTTCTTAAGTGTTTCCACACAGCCAAGCCCTGACCACGGGCTCCAGGAACCCAGAAGTCCTGAAGTCACCTCATGACCTTGTGGTGTCTCTCACGATGGCCTGGGGCACAGGGAACCTGAGAGGGCCTGTCCGTGTGTTCATCCTCAGTACCGGAGAAGCAGACAGAACTGCTGGTGGGCAACTCGGACCTCACTATGCTCGTGTCCTCTGACCCAGAGCCGGTGCCACTTCCGGTCCAGACACCCCCAAAGCCTGACTCCGCACCCCTCACACACCACACAATGCCCAGTTCCTGAATCAAGTAGCTAGCAGGGGAAGGGGCAACCGAGGGAGCCCATGGAAGTGCAGAAAAGTGTACACATGTACTCAGCCACATTGACACACGTACACATGTACGCACCCACACATACACACATGGACGGATGGCCTTGTACATGCTGCAAAGACACACATGAAATCACACCCACAAATATGTCCATGCACACCCACATGCAACCATGTGCACACACGAGCCCAAACACATGTATATGGAAAAACACACATCTCCACACACATACAGATGCATGCACACATGAACCTGAACATGCACAGGTTCACACACATACATGTACCATCATGAACCTGAACATGCACAGGTTCACACACATACATGTACCGTCATGAACCTGAACATGCACAGGTTCACACACATACACGTACCGTCGTATGTGCCCACATGTGCGCGCGCGCACACATATTCAGAGCACAGAGCATTCTTGGAAAGTCTCAGAGTAGAACAAGGGCGCGCAGAGGGCAGGGATGGGGGCACTCATTGTTCCACCTGGTCCTCCACCCTGACCCTGTGTGAACCAGCAGGTGGGGCCTCTGACCAGGCACTGGGACGGATGCCCAGTGCAGCCTCTGACAAGACGCCTCCTTCTGACAGGGAGCTGAAAATTACCAATTTCACGGTGGCTGCCTCTCCTGTTGTGGCTGGGGCCTTGCTGGGCTCAGCGTGCCTCAGGCTCTATCCCAGGAGGAAGTGGGTCCCCACCTCCCTCTGAGGGTGCCACCAAGGAGGCAGAAGACTGAAATTGCATGTGTGAGGGAGAGATCACAAGAGAAGCAACAGCTGGGGCTTGACAATATATGTGGGGAGGTCCATGGGTAGTGTGTGCGGCGACGGACATACACAGGGATTATAGTGGGACCACACACTCCTCCAATCCCATCCCTAGACAGACACACACAGCCAGCAGACAGCTTGTTCTGAGCACCTCCATAAGTGTCACCACGCTTGCTGTCCTATGCCCCATAAATACCCTATCCCTTGTAAATATCAGAGCCCCTGGCATCTCATCCTTCACAAATACTGCTGCCCGCATCTAATTCCCTGTACACAGTACCATCCTCATTGTCCCATTCCCTATAAACATCAACATCCCTGTCACCCCATCGTCCATAAAGACCCTAGCCCCTATGAACATTCTATCTCTCACTAATACTCTGTCCTCTACAACCATCTCTGCCTCTGCTACCTGGTCCCCCACGAACACCACTGTCCCGGTAATCCTGTTGTTGGTAGATCCTGTTGAGTTGACTCTCACTCATAGCAATTCTATGAACAACAGATCAAAGCCTGGCCCTTCCCTATGCCATCTGCACCACCTCCGCCATCCATTGTCACAGTCACCGTGCCAATCCACTGGTTGAGGCTCTTCCTTTTTTTAATGGTGAGAAAAATTTGTATTTAGAATTAGCCATCTCAGTTTAGATGATCCCAATTTTGTTGACAACATCCAAAGCATCATAGTCAGGAGCAAGTCGAACATAGGTGTCACCTTCTCTCCATCAGGCCTAATCAAAGTGTTGACCTTGGCCACATCGATGTCCTAGACCCTCTTTACAGCTTGTTTAATCTGGTGCTTGTTGGCCTTGACATCCACAATGAACACAAGTGTGTTGTTATCTTCTGTCTTCTTCATGGCTGACTCAGTGGTCAGAGAAAATTTGATGATGGCATAGTGGTCAACCTGGGGGCATTCTTCCGGAGGTATTTGGGCTGCCTCCGGAGTCTCAGCGTCTTAGGCCACTGGAAGGTGGGTGATGTGCAGATCTTCCTTTTTTTTCTTTTGGCTGTGGATGCCCTTCAGGACTGCCTTCTTGGCCTTTAATGCCTTTGCTTTGGCTTCTGTTTTGGGAGGGGCAGGGGCTTCCTTCGCTTCTGGCACCCTCTTTGTAGAAAGGTGGTCTTCCTCTTTTTTGTTGACCCTCTGTTTTTCCGAGTGTCATGTCTTCATCCAAATACTGATGCCTCCTAACCACATGCCCAAAGTATGGAAGATGAATTTTTACCATCCTTGTCTCTAAGGAGCACCCTGGTTGCATCTCCCCCAAGATAGATGTGTTTGCCACCCTATACCCCATTAAGTATCTTATCCCCCACAAACACTGCCCCCTTTAGCTCCATCTTTTATAAATGCCACCACCTCTTTCTCCCTGTCCCCCATAAACATCACTATTCTTATAATGCCACTGCTGCTCCATCCCCTATGGCACTTTCCATGGTGACCTCCAACAGCTCCTGGCAACAGCCGAGTCCCTGCCCGAGTACCCCAATAGCCTTAATGATGCTCTAGGGTTGGGCAAGCCCCATCTCTATGAACCCCCCAAGTTTCTCTTCTCCTCTGATGGTCTCAGCAAGGTCACAGAGGACCCTGGCCACAGCCAATAAGGTGGGAGAGCCAGCATGTAGACACTTAGGGCTTGGAAGGCCGGGGGGGGGGTGCACCCTGAAGCTGGTGAGCCCAGACCTGACTTGGTCTTCAGCCAGTGGGGAACAGAAAGAGGACCACCTACCACCAGGAACTCCAGAGGGGACAGGGAGAAAGGAAGATTGTGGAGCGAGAAGCGATGGAGAGGTGGGGACAAGGGTGGCAAGAGGGGTCACCTGGAGCCCAGGGGAGAAAGGGAGTGCTGACAAGACCGTCCGCAATAGGAAAGGGCTCTAGTGCACCGTTCCTATCACATAGGACTGCTAGCTGTTCAAAAACACTAGCTGCTCCAGGAAGAAAGATGTGCCATCTTCTTCCATAAACATTTAAAGTCTTGGAAACCCACTGGAGAATCACCATGAGACAGACAGGATGCGGGGGTAGTGGGCTTGGTTTGGGCTACAGCCCCCTTTGGAAGGGCCACTCCAGGACACAGAAAACCACAGCCACAGGGCCAGCAGGCCACGTGCACAGCCAAGCCTAGCCCATGATTCAAATCCCATGACACCCTGGGGCAGTCAGGGGGGATCTAACTTATTGTCAGGGCAACCCCAAAATTGTAGGCGCACAAGGATCACAGACATGTGGGGATTAGAGGGACCCTCTCTCTTTTGCCAAGAGTGCCCAGATCTAGAGCAAACTGACAGGGCCTCGGGGACCTCCTGCATGCAGGACACGGGAGGTAGGCCCTGGCCTGATGTCGTGGACACACTGGGACTCCCTGTTGTCAAGAGCAGAGCTGAGAGGCCTCCCCAGCCTGCACACTCATTCAGCACACACAGCAGCTGTCACCAATGTGTCAAACGCCAGGCCCAGCAGCCGTGTCCCAGCTCCCACCTCGAAGTCACGGCAGCTGTGACGTGATGCCGCCTGGCGGGGACCTCCAGCCCCCCCCCCCCGCCCGACACGTACCTATCCCCACGCTGCCGCTCCCGCACAGCCACACTCTCAGCGACACCCGCAGCTCCACTGTCCCATCTGTCATCCTCAGTGCGGAGCCTGATGCCAGCTTCCTCGCTTGCTCACTCTCTCGGATGAACAGGAGCTCCTCTCTGGCACCCCTTCCTGGCTGAGGACTCGACCCTGGACTATGGCAGCCCCACATGGGGTTCCCTGGGGGACAAGAGGACCAGTTTGATGGTGGCGGGACTTAGTTGCTCTGAATTCTGCCCAGATTAACTCCAGAGGGCAGGACAGATGTGGTGTCTTTGTGCTGCTTGTATTAAACTTGGACAAGAGACAGGCCAACTCCGAGGCCGCAGCCGCCGACATCCGCATAAACAGAGGGCTCGTCACCGACTGTGAGCCTCGGCTGGTGTGGTCTGTGAGCGTCTCGGGCTGCTTGTGTTTGTCCCTGAGATGTTTGACAAGCTCACATTCCTTCCACCCCATCGGACCTGGAACTCGGCGTCTCGCCAGCAGCTTTGGGGAGCCGCCTACCCACTAGGCCAGGACACTCGGGGGCACCCCGGACCACCTGTGTGTGTTCCCTGAACGCCAGGGGGTGTCCCATGGCCATGTGGGGTGTAGGGAGGCTGCCCCACCCCAGACCGTATCGAGACCCACCCCGGCCTTCCTTCTTCCCCTAGTCAAGTGGCTTCCCTCCACATCGAACACCAGCAAGGCTCCTTTTTCCTGGAATAACCTACAGCCTCCCTGGTGGGATACACCCCCCTCAGAGCCCTTACTGCAGTTCTATCACCCTCCCAAGGGTGCCTGAGTCCCCATCTCACCTCTCCAAGCCCTTCCTGAGGCCCACCCCGCTCCTCTCCAGCTTCTCTACAAGATTCCATCTACTGAACTCCAGGCACACAGACCTGTCCACTCTGCTCCAGCCACACGGACATGTCTCACCACCTCAGGGAATTTACATCTGCTGTGCCTAGGACCCCCCACTCTGTTGTTACCCTGATTCCAGCTCCCTCCAGACTCCCAAATCACCCTCTAAGATGCTCCAGGCCACCAGAAGCCCCAGGGCCAGGCTCACAGGGTGGTCAGTCACTAGTTAGTGGGCCAGCAGAGAAGCTACACAGTTCAGGGAACATCATTGAATGAACTGGTCACATACTCAGTGGGCCAGTTCCTCTACCAGCCTGTCCCCCACTGCAGTGTCCTTCAGGGCCAGGGCAACACCCGTCACTGCCTTTCAAAGAAAACACCTCACCTCTGAATTGAACCATGGAATAATCCCATTAAGAGCCTTCCCCACAGACCCCTTGGGAGAGCTGAGCCTCGCCTACCTCTGCATATACCCTAGTCTGAGTTAGGCTCCCGCTGTTAGATCTTCCATCTACTGAGTCCCCCTAATCTGGACACTACCCTTAAGCTGTGTGTCTAACTCTATCAGCATCATCTGTGTCACCATACAGGTGGGGGTGTTACAGCCTGGGTGGTGGGAGTGTGCCCACCCCACCCAGGCTCTGCAAGAGCACCCCATGAACAAGCAGGGCCAAGGAGCACAAGGTGCTCAGCACAGCTTTGGGACAATCAGGCATATCTTATAACCGCTCGCTTTTTCCTATCAAGGGAACAGGTGACCAACTCCAGGGAGCTCAGCTAACTGCTGCAGCAAGGTCCCCCCAAGTGCAAGGGCCTTCATCCAGGCTAGCCCTGCCACTTTGGCCTGGCCTTCCTGTCCACCGTGCCTGGGTAGACAAACCTGTGGTGCAGAGACCAGAGATGCTGTGTCCTCTCAGGCCCACCAAGCAGTGCTGGTGTCTACAGGAGGGGCTTTGGGAACTCATCTTTGATACACTTTGTTGTGGGGATCCCAGGACACGAGTTCAGGTTCGTACAAGCGCACCCCCCAGCTCCAGCCTCATTTGGATAAGGCCTGCAAGGCATCTGATGGCTGGCTCTGTGAGGACACTGGACGAAGAAAGGGTGACCATTCGGCCTTCAGCAGACATCAGCACTGTCTTGGTAGCTACCCTGTGGGTCAGGTTTGCAAAAGTGAGAAGGGAAACCAGAAAGGCTCAGGCAGGCTGACTGAGGCCTCGAAAACCAGGAAGGGAGAAGAGTTCTCCTTAGTGTTATGTCCAAGGCATCCCATCTCCTGGATGATGGAGAGTGAGTGGGGTGAGAGAACCAATTTTAACAGGAGTTCATTCACAAATCAGACACTTGTCTCTTTGAAGTGCCCTACTCAGGCAGGGCCATGCCACATGCGCTAGGGTCAGGCCACATTCTCCTCCACATCCTCGGGCAGCTAGATGGACTCAACAGAATGAGAAGACAAGAGGGGACACTGACCCGTACTGTTAGGTACCTCTTCAAACTTTTCCATGCCCTCTCCAGCCACCTTCTAACCCCTCAAACTCCCAACCTGGCCTATAGTTTGCCTTCCTCATGGTCTAGGACCACGAGGTCCCTTCCCGCCATTGCCCGCCCACCTGCAGCCGGCAGTGCATCTAGCTGAGGCCTCTCTGGCCTAGAAGCTGGACGCAGCAGCAGTGATGCTGACGAGCCCAGAGTCAGCCCCGGGGGAGCCCGGGCAGAACCGAGCCCGGCTGAGCGGGCGACAACACAGAGATGCCACCCACCTCCCTCTATAAATAAACCTGTGTAGGAGACAGCACTCACCCAGAGCTCTCTCGCACAATTATACTTTTCAGAAGCAAAGCAGATCAATAGAGGAGGCGGCCCTTGGAGGCGCCTCTTCTAGGGGAGTAGAAAACTTAGGGAGGCATAGAAATACATATGCTGGTGTGTGATGGGGTTCAAGGACACAAGCTTCCTCAAAGAATCCCTCTTCCTGCACGCCAATGGTAAACCAGACCCCAGCTGGCAGCTGGCAGCTGACATCACTTGGGTTCAGCCGGTTCAAGGGAGTCTCGAGACCCAGCCAGACCAAGCGTGGGTCCTCAGAACAGACCCCACACTCTTCCTATCTGTGGTACAAGCTTCAGGGGTGGACCTACATCCGCTGTCATCCCTAGAGGCCACCCTCTAGTTACAGGACATGGCCAAAGAAACCCCAGTTACATCCACTGTCCATGCTTCAAACATAGCCTTACCCTCCAGCCAACAGGCCTCCCGGAGTAAGCCGAGCCCCCCTTCACCTGTCTAGCTACGTCATTTTAGACTTTTTCTGAGGTCCACATCCCCACTCCACACAGGCTAGGCATGCCCAAGGTCAGGACCCTGCTCTTCCATGACAGGGTGGAGAACCTGGTGCAGATGTGAGATTGGCCCATCTGTGCTGGGGATGCTGAGCTCATCTTACAAAGTTCTTCTAAAGCATCTGGGCATCAGGGACTCTAAGGGGGCATCCTGGATCACTGAGGCTTTGGGGGGATGGATTGTGCTGTGAGGTGGCAGAGACAAAGGGGTACACAGAGGAGCCTCTGGGCAAAGCCATTCCAAGCCACTGTCACGCAAAGCTGCCCCTCCTCCCACTTCGGGCATCCAGGAACACCAGAGGTGGCCTCACCAGGAACAACAGGCCTGACAGTGAAGGGGAGCACTACCCTCCCCTGCTGTAGCATCTCCTTTTCCACTGGGACCCAGCAACAGATGCGGCTCCCGCATCAAGAGGCAGCCAGGGGACGGAGGTGCCCACTCCCTCCCCACCTCTGGGCAAGGCACTTTGCCACACCTGTCTTATGCAAACAAGCTTGTTGGAAATTGAGGGGCCCAGGCAGCCTGGAGTCAGGTTCAAAGGCACCCCCAGCAGGGACAGGGCGCCAGACTCAGTGCTGTCAGGAAGAAAAAGTCCAGACCTGCACACTCCCTGCTGAATCTGGTTCCCCACAAACACTGGAAGAATAAACAGGGTGCAACCCCCTCCCACCCCACCATGACCTCCACCCTAGATGGACCACAAAGCACCCCTCCCTGTCACACCACCTCTGCTTCCAAAATCAAGTGGCTTGGGCTTCCACATCCCCTCCTGGGCAGAAACAAGCATGACCAAGTCCAAGGTCAACTGGGCACCAGCCTAGGGGACTGAATTTTCAACATTCAGTCAAGGACAACCATCCCATCCAGACACCCATCCAAATCTGATGCCCATCCAGAGCCAAAGTGCAGCTAGCTGCCCTGCTCCGGAGCTAGCCCTCGGCCCTGCCCCAACCCAACCCTGCACTCCGACCACTGCCCCCCTCCAGGCTGGCGGAGTCGGTGACTCACTGGATGTCTGCATATCAGGAAAGTGAAACACAGACTTTTATTACTTTTTTTGGTACAGATTCCTCTTTGCATCTAATATTTATACAATGATATACACAAGGTAGGGAAGATATATATATCCATCCATATACATGTGTGCCCACTCTTATTCATCTTCATCCCTTCCATCTCCCCAGATGGCATGAGAGTTTGGGCTGACCTCTATTTCTATGACCCTAGACCCCAAAAAGCCAACCGACCCCCCCTTGAAATTAGAGCAGTAAGAAACTACCTTACTGCAGCTTTACCGCCCAGCCACGACTTCCAAAGCCTCCAGTAGAGAGGACATCAGCAAGGTGACCACAGACCCTTCCTGGGTGAATAGGTGAGGGGGTGTAATGCTGCCCTCTGCCTCCACCTCCTTGCCCAGAGTGGAATTTTCTTAAAATGTCTGCCACTCTCACAACGAGAGGGGGTGCTGTCCCAAGCTCCCTATACAACAAAAGGGGCTTAGAAGGCAGAACACCTCATGAGGTGCGAGCCACCGCCCTACCCTCTACCCCCACACGACTAAGTCAGCACAGCACCGAGTCCAGACAGGAAAAGTGGGTTTAAGACCAATGTCACTCACTGCCTCATTCTGGCATGTACAGACCACACGGCTGTCCCCGAACGCTTCGATCACACGCGGAGTGGAAACTTCTCGTTTCTCTACTCCCCTCGGGCTCGCCCCTCCCGGGGGGGGGGGGGTCCCACCTAGAGTGCGACGTTCCGTCATCTCATGGGGGAGAATGTCCCCCCAACTCTCCAGTCACAGCAGCGGGAGTCCTGACCTCCCTCCAGACTTGTGTGGGCCTAGCCTTTGACGTCTTTGAACTGGGACACCCCATCCGATCAGGAAAGGCGCTGCCACCCATCACTGGTCAGCACCGGACCCCTTTTCTGGGAAAGGTGCTCGGGGCCCGCCCCCACGAGGCGCTCTGTGCGCCCGGGCTGAGCCTGTTCCACAGAGCGAGCGGGGCGCGCGGCGCTGGACTCGTGTGTG